AGGGGGCAGCCCCTCCAGAGGGGCCAGAGGACGCGGTGACAGACACACATCCCTTGCTGGGAAAAAACCACAGCGGGAGCAGGGGGTTCCCAGCCCCACCACTCGGGCACCAGCTTGGAAACGAGGAGCGCGGAGGTTTAACACCCCAGCCTTTCCCAGGGGGGTGGGCAGGGTGGGAACTGTCCCTCGTGTCCTGCGGTGTCGCTGCACTTTAGGGGATTTTAACCTCCGAGACACCGGGCTCAGCCTGGTTGCTCTACGGGCGAGGAGGGGAGGGATGGAGGGGTTAAAGCAGTGGGTGTGGGACAGGGAAGGGCATCGTTACCTGTCGAGCCTAAGAAGTATCTGTCCAGAACAGGCCCGAATCCGCCGGGATTCCTGCCCAGGTCCCCGCTGACGAAGGGCTGGGCTTGGCTCTCGGCCCCGTTGAGGGGCCAGCGGGGGGCCCGGGTGCCCCCCCCGCCGAACCAGGAGACGTTGGCCATGGAGAAACAATCCTGCCCGGAGTTGGCAGGTGGTGACAGGGCAGGAAGAGGGAAGAGAAAGGGAAAAAAAAATAAAAATCATGGCAAGAGTCAAGAGCACGAGGTATGCACTTCGTCCTGAAGAGACATTAACCAGCTTTAACTTGCTAATTACAGGCAAAGGCAACGATTTTTCCTCCTTTCCCCCTCACGTCCCTGCGTCCAACATCCTGCAGGTGGAGGGACATGAAAATCCCACCGCAGGAACAAAACTCCACACCTGAAAAGCTACAGTTTCCTTTAAAAGAGAAAGGAAATAATATGTAGGAATAATAAAATAACCCCTCCCCAAAGCCTGCCTGTTTCAGGCAGGTGAACTTGAACTTTCTGTGAAGCAGCTGGGTGACCCAGAGGTGCCCCCCCCACCCCCCCAAGAGTCCCTCCTCACACCTCAGTCCCTGCCCACCTTCCCCAAAGGGAATTTGGAATTCCCAGCTGAATTTGCACACACGCAGGGAGGTGTTTCCCCTGCCATAGGGCCCATCCCAGTAGCACCAGTGTCCCAGGGTGACAGGGGGTTTCTGCTTCCTCCCGAGGCAAAGCCCCCTCTTCCCGGAGGGCTGACAATAAGAAGCACTTTCCTCAGCCCAGACTAAACCAGTTTGGGCATTTCAGGCACTTCTCACAGGGCTGGGGGGCAGCGAGCCATCCCCAAAAGCTGCTGGCCAGGGGGAACATGCCCCCCCTCAACCCACCTTCTGTCAGAAAGCACCAGCTTTCCCTTCAGAGCCTCCGAACGTCCTGCCAGAGCAGGATCAGCAGGGCTTAGCATCCCTCGTGACTGCACACGCTGGGCCAGGCTTCCCCAGAAGCCCCCCGAGGAGCCGGGGCTGCAGGCTGGGGTGGGCAAAGCACCAGCAGCCCCCAACCCACCATCCCTCACCCCGACCCCATCCCCGGGCTGGGGCAGCAGCCCCGGGAGCCCTCAGCTCGTTCCTGCCGTGGGGGCAGAGAGAGGTTAAGCCTCACTAAGGGGGTGGGGAGAGGAGGTGTAAATTATTAAAGTGGAAACCCTGGAGGCTCCGATGGCTGGGCCAGGTGTCAGCTGAACGAGCTACACCAGCCGGGGGCGGGGGGGGAAGAAAAACATGTCCTTTCTTAACTCTTAGATTTCACCAGATCATGTTGTCCGAGAGTTTGGGTTTGTGGGATTTTTTCTTTAAGTGGAAAAAACCCGATTCTGGCTCAGCCATCCCCTCAACCACCCCACATGACTTGGGGAAAGCAGCCCCACAGCTGGGCTCAGGAAACACCTTCCACAGCCCCAAACAACACCAAGAGGTGATTTAGGGCTAAAAGGGGAAAGTCCCCCCTCCCTGCAGGATCCCATCCCACTCCCTCACCTGTCCCAGGGGCCCCCACAACAGGACCTCGTGCTCTGACAGGGTTTTTCCTGCCCCTCCCTACTGCCTGTTTGCAGTCTGCTTTCATTTAACTGAGGGTGAAAACTGGGGAGGACACAATAAAAAACCCCCCATAAATGTCTGCAGCAGCAGAGGTGGATGAATCCCATCCCGAGAGAGCTGCTCATTGTGTCTGTGGTTGGAAGGGACCTTCTGGGACTCTCGCCCAGCATTGTGAGCTGCAGTGGTTATTTATTTGGTCTCTATATAAACACGGTTCTCCCACCCCGGGGTCCCCAACGCGGCCCCAGGGGGAGGCAGCCACAGCCCTGCTGTGATTTTGGGGTTGGCATCAGGGGCTTTTCCCAGCCTGGGCCCTCCAGCTACTGGAGGCTTTGGAAGATGGAGGGTCCATGACCACAGGTTGCCCAGGGAAGCTGTGGCTGCCCCATCCCTGGGGGTGCTGAAGGGCAGGTTGGATGGGGCTTGGAGCAGCCTGGGCTGGTGGGAGGTGTCCCTGCCCATGCAGGGGGGTGGGACTGGATGGGCTTTGAGGTCCCTTCAACTCAACCCATTCCACGAGTCTGTGGTGTGACCCATAACCCTGCTGGGCATCGTCCAGCCCACACCTTCCCCGTTTCGCCTCGTTTCCCCCCCAAGCTCCACGGTTCAGAGAAGGGTCCCGGGGTGGGGGTGAGGGGTCGTGTATGTGTCCCCCCGTTACCTTCAGCCTGACGTCGGGGCGCAGGGGGGTCCAGCGGACGCTGTAGCACTCGGTGGCGGGGTCTGGCGGCTGCTCCAGGGCCACCCGGAGCTCGGCGTCCTCCTCC